TGGGGTTAAGCTGGCTTTCAGTGTTGGAAAGAGAACCCGAGAGAAATGTTTGTTTTAGCAGATGTGTTAAGCTTCTTGTGAGAAGTCAAAGTCACTGAATGAAGAGATTACCACCGAGAGTGATCAGGACAACAAAGCCTCAACGCAAGTGGCTTCTCCATAGTTAATGTACTAAGTGCAGAATTCCTAAGCACTCTGTTTAGAAGTGGTGGAGACATGTTGGTTAGTGAGCAGTTGATTGGTCTTCCCGGAGAGCATTTTGAATCAGCTGAATGTACTGAGGGCGAGATTTAAAAGGTTGTTTCTCTTGGCTTTATTTCTTTTTTTCTAGAGGTTTTGAAAAGCAACATTTACTTTCTATTTCTTTCCAGTGAATTTAAAATACTTCATAACATAATGTGCTACTTATATCAAATGTTTATTGTGTGACCAGGTAACAAGAATTATGTCATGCTGAAAGTAAAAAGACTATATGGTCATCTTCTCACTCAGGAAAATGTAAACTAAAAAATAAAAAGTTATGTTTAGTTCCTCGGCCTCTGTGTCTCAGAGTTATCCTATTGCTACTCACTATTCAACCACGGCACACAGTTTATTGGTGGAGGTAAGAAAGCCTGCATTCTGGGACTGTGCTGCCAGTAAATCTATTAGAAGAAATCATGTAGATCCCAATTTGACATCATGTGGAGGAGGAAGTGAAAGTTGGCTACCTGAACAAGAATTATGAATAATGTGTGAAAGATAATTTTTTTCTTCATTCCTTTCCTTTCATGTCTAACAACTTCCCCCAAAAAACTGCCTCTCCTCTGACTAGGTAATGGGGGTGCCTGTCACAGTGATTCTAAGTCTGTTTGTGGGTCTATGGTTGGATAACTGAAGCAGTATTTCCACAAAAGAATAAAGGTTTTGGCACATTGCTCATAGTCCGTTGCATATGGCAGATGTTCACGAATATTTCTTAGCATGAGTGTGTGAATAAGTGATTATTTAAAAACTCATTATTTAAGAATTTGATTTTCTTTTCATAGTGGCTCCCAAAACAGGGAAAGAGAAAGTTTTGAAACAGATCTAAAACACAAAAATCACAGATAATCATTTGTATGGGTAACAAATTTCAAGATCCAAAAGGATGGAGATAGATTGGAAACATGAGGCAAATTCAAGAAAATGAAATTTAATACCCAACCATGTACCTTTGAGATGGGAGAGAAATGGTTAACAGTAGCATGGCAGCATGTGTAAATACAGTCAGATTTCCTTTTGGTTGTGTTGTATCAGTGCCAGAAAGGCTAATGCAGTTCTAAAATACCTCAACAGAAGCAAACAGGGCAAAAAACAAACAAAAAATCAAGAAGGTGAAGCAATTATTTTACTCTATTCTGAGGTCACACCAGGAGTATGCGGGCAACCCAGCCAGTTGATGAAGAGATACAGGAGAGTGCTAAGGTGTCCAGTTTTAGAAACCTTGGCACAAGAGGAATCTGACTAGCCTTGGCTGGGCGGGTGTGGGAGGGCTAAAAGGTACTTACATCTACTCTGGTGGCTCCAGGAGAAAGAACCAGAAATTGTATATAGAAGTTTAGAAAGGGCAGATCTGAGTTCAATGTAAGGAATAATTTTCTAGCTGAGTTGCCTCTTTAGGGGCATAGAGGAGCAGGTTTCTCAAGTTGGTTATGTTCGAGAAGAGGCCGCATGACTCCTTACTGAAGATTTCCTATCAGGTTGGTCTAGACGAGTTACTGTTTCCCTCTAACTCTGTGACTGTGGTTCACATGCCATGTTGTGAAATAAAGTGAAGTCATATGACAGAAGGTAAATGGAGTTTAAGGTCTGTAAAAGTAGATGGCCACCAATATTCTCCATTTCCACAGGGTCCATAGGTCAAAGCAGGCGGGCAGCTGTCCAAGGTGCTGGAGGGAGGTTGGCCTGTGTCGGTGGTTTTGCTCCCCTGGTTGCCTTCATGCTTGCTGTTTGTTTTAATGCCTCTGGATTTTCTGCTTTTCTGTTCCTCGTACAAACCTACCCTTCTGCCTTCCCCACATGAACACTGGGCTTAAGCAAAGAGAAAAATGCACTGGAAATGTGTTAGGGGGCTGGGGCTAAACTACAACCTAGGGCTTCCTTCCTCTGTCCCATCCCAGCAGTAAATGAGTCCATGAGTCCATTTCACTTTCAAAGGTCCAGCTTGGTATATAAGATTGGACTGTTTGAATGGATTGATAGTTACAGTAGAAATAAATTTTTTTGAGACACTTGTACTGATTTGCTTCTTGAGTTCTTAATTTTATCCTTTCCACAGTACATACATATCTTGAAAGGAGACAGGAAACTTAAGCAAACCAACAATGATTTTTATGGTGAGGTGGAAGGAACACTAGATGGTTTAGCTAAACACCTCTGTGGCCTTTGGTATACCCAGGAGCGGTGTGTTGGTAATAAACCTGGAAACTTCTCCACTTTCTATTTGTGTTGCCTTTTATACATCATTTGACTTCTCAGTCCCTTAGTTTTTTCCGTCTACAAAAACTAAGGGTTGTGAAAATGAAATGTTAATATATGTCAATGTAAATACATGTTAATACACAACTAAGGGTTGTGAAAATGAAATAAGCTAATATATGTCAAGAACTTCTTAGAACAATACCATGTGCAAACATAGTGTTTTAATACGTTGTGTTGAGGGGGTCATCAAGACCACCCTTTTCTGTATTTGATAATTTTAGTAATGTTTTCCTAACTCACTAGAAAGACCCACAGGACACAGAAAAGTTGTTATACTGACAGTTGTGGTTTATTACAGAAAAGGATATAGGTTGCAATCAGGAATGGAAGGCCATGCATAGGGAGGAGTCCAGGAAGGACCATCTGTAAGCTTCCAGTTGTCCTTTCAGTAAAATCACATAAACAGAACTTAATTCTCTTAGCAATGATGTGTGACAACATCTGCAAAGTGTTGTCAATCAAGGAGGTTCACCTGTGCCCTGGTGTCCAGGTTTTTATTGGGGGGAGTCAGTCTCATGGGCATGCAGTACCTTTGTGACTGACCTTAACTGCTCAGTTCTCAGCCTTCCGCCATCTCCTCTTGTTACCAGACCCCACCACTTACTTACCCAAAGTTAGTCTTTGGGTCAGGGGTTTCCTCAGTATCATCCCTTCGTGGTTTACCAGAAAGATGTTATTGGAAAGTGGTCCCAATCCAGACCCCAAGAGAGGGTTCTTGGATCTCGTGCAAGAAAGAATTCAGGGTAAGTCCATAGAGTAAAGTGAAAGCAAGTTTATTAAGAAAGTAAAGGAATGAAAGAATGGCTACACCATAGAAAGAACAGTCCTGAGGGCTGCTGGTTGCCCATTCTTATGGTTATTTCTTGATTATATGCTAAGCAAGGGGTGGATTATTCATGCCTCCACTTTTTAGACCATATAGGTTAACTTGCTGATGTTGCTATGGCATGGTGCTGGTGCTTTCATGGTGCTGGTGGGAGTGTAGCAGTGAAGGTGACTGGAAATCACTCTCATCGCCATCTTGGTTTGGTGGGTTTTGTTTGGTTTTTTACTACAATCTGTTTTATCAGCAGGGCCTTTATGAGCTGCATCTTTTGCTAACCTCCTATCTCATTCTGTGACTAAGAATGCCTTAACTTTCTGGGAATGATCTCAGCAGGTCTTAGCCTTATTTTACCCAGCCCCTATTGAAGATGGAGTTGCTCTGGTTCAAACACCTCTGACACTCTTACTGCCTTAAAAGGGTCAAACTGATACAGTGTGACCTAAAAGCCCAGACATACAAAAGCAAGCATGCACTATAAATCACACTGTTAGCATAAACTACTTGGCATGAACTAAGGTCTCAGACATACAAAGATCTTCTTATCAGGTAGGCTATTCTAAGGGCTCAGAGGAGCCAAAGGCCAGTCTTGAAAACTTGTAAGGTGTAGGGTTTGGGCACCCCAGGTCTACTGAGTTAACAATTTATTGCACGTATATGTAAGTTTTACTTATTTGAACAATTTAACAATTTTCATAATAATTTGTTTTTAGTTGTGAACATGTATTAAATATCTACTGCATAACTCTTTTTATAATCTTTTATCTGTAAGCTGAAAAATAATTTGGTTTCATTCATATTATAAACTTAGAAAAAAATCATTATTACTTCAATATAAAAGGACACATCAAAAACTAATGATCATTACTAGTATTGCAATAGTGGTTGTTCATAAGAGTGCTTCATAAGTTTTAACTATAATTTCATGCAAAATGCTCCATGCATATTATTAGTTGTAGTCCTTATCAACAACTGTGGGAAGTAGGTAATACTTGTAATATGCAGGTGAGAGAATCAAGGTCCAGAGAGTTTCAAGAACTCCCCCAAGCTTCCCAGTCAGTAAGGGACAGAGTCTAACTTTACCATCTGATTCATGGTCTTAACATCATGCATGATAGTTTCCAGTGACTCTGAGAGACAAAAGATTTAAAAGGTACACTAAAACATTAAAAATTCAACAAACTTTATATATCTCAAGGTACACAGGATATTTAGATGCTGGGGCAGAGTGTGGTTAGAATACATATGTCCCTTTTACCAAGAGAAGTGATCACTGCAAAGAATATTCCAATACTCCAAAATGCTTTTTTGCCATAAAAATATGGTATAGCAAGCAAAAGTAAGAAAAACAGAGATATGAAAAGGAACACATTATGCAGTTATTTCGATTGTCTTTATTTCTTATTTTTATTTTGGAGACAGGGTCTACCTCTGTCACCCAGGCTGGAGTGCAGTGTCACAATATGGCTCACTGCAGCCTCAAACTCCTGGACTCTAGTGATCCTCCCACCTCAGCCTCCTGAGTAGCTGGGATTACTGGCATGTGCCACTGCACCTAGTTAATTTTTGAGTGTCTATTAAAAAGAGAAATATAAAATCCAGATGTCTTCAAAGGCTCCAAAATTGTCACCATGAATTGTTTGTAATTCTGTCTTTTTCCCTCCCCTCTTGTTAGATCTCAGTCTGTGGTAGAAGCTGGGACCCTGAAACATGAGGAGAAGGGAGAGAATGAGAACACTCAGCCACTCCTGGCTCTGGACTGAACCCTGAGTCACACCAATGCTCCCGCACACTGGCCTTCAGTGGTATCAGCCACCCAGGAAGCACATGCGCAACTGACCCATACAGACCCGTGTGTTCTGCTTGACACAAGGTCCTCCACTCCTGACCCCCTGCAGTGACTGTCACCAGCCATCGGTCTGAGCAGCCAAAGTTGGACAAAGACTTGAGAGATGCTTTTTTTTTTCCCTCCCGCAGTGAGGGGACTGGAGGATGATGCAAGGCATTTATGTAAAAAAGATTATACTTCCTATTTATGGTAGTAAATAAATTGAAAAAGTAAAAAACTAAATTTGATGCACACACTGCATTAGGACAAGAATTTTTCTGAGGTATCACACAAGGACCCTCTCCGGTTTTGGAAAATTAACTGCATTTCCAAGTAAATGTATCAGAGTTAAACTGTGCAGACACCACTGTCAAGTTTCATGTAGTACAAAGCCCTGAGACAATAGCATTTCTGGTAATTTCCATTCTTACTGAATTATTTCCTTTGACCTCATCACCAGCATTGAATTGTTCAGCCTAAGAGCATGTTCTCATAGGTCTGGGTATTTGCAAAGTTTGCTTATTTTGATATCCTGCAAAAAAATTATTTTGATGTTACATCTCTTGTCAGGCCACTAGCTGACTGTCAGGAGCTGACTTTAAAGGAAGACACATGCACATGAAATACAATTATTTCATCTGAGCAATGTGAGTTTCCACAGGCAGTTCAAGAGCCAATTAGTGCAGCGTGTGTCTGCAGAGGAGCTGTCTCATTGAAAACACATGTCAGTGATTAATGAATCCATTCCAGTTGTCTCAACTGGGTCACTACAGCAAAGAAAAGTGCTATCAAACCATTTACCCCTTGTCCCCCAACCCTCCTGCAGCCATTAAAGATGTGGAGAAAGAATGTGGTTGTTGCTCCAAGGGTAAATATTCAATCATGGAGCAAGACCCATATGGATGTTTAAATATGCAAGTACTGAAATAAGAGAAGACTAGAAATGCAAGATGAAATGTCAAAGGTCATTTTATTTACCTATTCTCCTTCGAAATGGAGTCCCTAACTATCCATTCAAAAGAAATCAGATATAAAATAAACGGACATCATACGATATGATATTCTTACTTGTGCCATGTTTTCCAAGACCGGTGCATATTTTTAGATATCTCTTATTTGCCCAGCCATCTGCATGACATGGGTATTTATTAGTATGACCAGTTGGTGCTCAATGTCAAACAAAAATATTTTAGTGAATAATGGGCAGTAAAATATGATTTTACATTTTAAATATTTGGGAGAGTTAATTTGTTAGCTAAATAATTCAAGGGAAAGAGATTATTCAACTCATCAAAATCACCCCTGATAATGTTATTACTAATCTTAATTATTTATTACATCTCTTTCCCAATGGATCTAATATTTTAATTTTTTTTTCCTATTGGTAGAGAATAATAACAGAAGTAATTTTTATATTACATCCCTGGAGAAATAAAGTTGAAACAGAATTAAAAATACTTCTCAAACAACTGTATCACAATATAAATTAAATTAATTCATTTTTGTGTAGACGTTGGAAATCAGAAAAATAATAACATTGAAATAATTCTACCAATGCAGCGACAGAAACACTTTTCTTATGTACCAAGACATAGGTAAGAGAAAGAAAGAATTAAAGTGAATTAGAAAATCCATTTTATTGCTTGAGTTTAAAATAGTTATGGGATACAAGTATTTACAATGCTATTGGAGTCAATTATTGACAACACTTTGCAACAGTAATGCCATTTCTAGTTTTTCAATTGGCAATACTTAGAACCCTACTGTAGTGACCTGATTTTAAATACCATATTTACTAAATTAAGAGCTAGTTTTTACTCTCTTCCATAATTTCATTACATGAATGTAAGATGATGGCTCAACAATGACGACTTATAGTTTGAATTTCTTTATGTGTATGCAATATACATATGAGAACCAAATTCAACAAGTGACGCGAATGTTACTACATGAGCATTGAATTGTATTGCCCTTGTCAGTTATTTCCTCTGTTCAATAAATACTGAAGGACACAAATACTTTTTTACTTTTCAAGAGTTTGCCTTCTCTTCTCGATTTTATTTATTAATTTGGATATTTTTCCTCCCATGCCTCTTCATCTGATTTAGTGGGATGTTTTCAATACCAGCAAAACAAAAGAACAGGAAAAGTATTTTGCAAACTTATCCACTGGAAGCTAATGTCCTTAAGGTCAAGCAAAAAGAGTCAATTTCAATTTCAAAGAGCTGTTCTTTAAATGAGATAAAGAAAGTCTCCTTTTGTTTTTAGATGGAAAAGAAAGCACACGTTTTTTCTACCTGTGAATGAAATTTGGTGACCTCTGTGCCAGTCCTGCAGCAATTTTGTTCATATTGGTTTAGAATTCAGTGCATGAATATCATTACATTCTTATAGCTAACATTTCTAGTTAGCTTTGATTCAAAACATACAAAATCTGATGCATTAATACTTTACTAAATTAATGACTTGATCATCTTTGGAATGAGTAGGCAAGATGATTTTTAACTGTTATTTCTATGTTGTGGGTAATGTTAAAACTAAATATAGAAGATAAAAATTGCTATTTCACAGCGATGTTTAAAATGGCAGAGGCTTCTCAAGCCAGAGAGATGGGACAGTCTTCCAAACTCTTTCATCAAAAACGAAAGCAATCTGGACCTCCTACACCCAGGACAAAGATCCTGGCATTCTTGGTAACCTTTTACTCTGCCATCCTTAACATTTCTACAGAAGTGTGGCAGAAATCATCTCCAAGACTGAAAGCTGGCTTCCTGTCATTCACATGAATCTACCATAGGCAAAGACACTGTATTCTCAGCCCTTGCCTCATGGATGGCGAAACAGCCAGGAGCCTGACACCCTAGCAGCCACCTATCCACCTAACCCTGAAAGAACATATTTTTATTTCCATGAACTATACTTTTTCCCCGGAAGCTCTAATAATTCGCATAAAAATTTACATCTGGGACTTCTATAACAATATAAGATAATTCCATGCTCTTTTTTCAGTGTGAAAAGTTCCTCTTTGAAAGAAATAGGATTTTGTCAATATCCCCACCACTAGCATAGTGAGAAGAGGATCTCAATCAAGATAAAAAAACCCAAATGACTGGAGAGTTGGGATGGGTACAGTTCATAGACACTGGCATAATGACCTCTTTCTTTTTTGTATTAGGAAAATAAAACTGCTTTTTTCATGAGTGTCTTTTACTAAGAAGAATTAAAAGAGGGACGTCTGAGTTTCCCAGTAATGCTACCGTTAAACAGCTAGAAGTAAAGCATTTATACAGCTTGTCATTAAAATCAACAAAAACGTAGTGGTACATGATGACAAAATAGTCTAGCTACACTAGAAAAATATAACTGCATAGAAAAATTACAAACTAAAGCAATCCATTCACAGTTTCTACATATGTTCTCTTTATACACTGAATTAGATCTATTCTATGTGGAAAAAACATCTTTGGTAAGGTAGAGGCTATCAAATGTTCACCTTAAATACTGGCAGAAGACCACTGCTTTCATGAGATGACACACAGCAGGGCATTTCCTAAATGAATTGCAGCGAGGCAAATATTCCCTTTAGTGTCTTCTAACCCTAGCAGGAGGCTGAGAATTATTCAGGCTGCAAGTCAAGGGGATTAAGAGTCCTAGTGTTCGAAATTCTATCCTCACACCCAAGGAGATGGAATGAGAAAGGCAGCCTCTCTCCAGAGTGTCCCAAGCTTGCATGAATTCATGTTAAATTGCAGGAAGGCTGCGTCTCTGCTGTGGTGTCAGTTCTGGGTGCCACACATCCACGATGAATATCAGCCGGAAAGATGAAGCATCCTGCCATACCTCGTGCTCAAAGGAGTCATCAAAGATGAGCACCTTGCCTTCCTCCCAGGTCCTGCAAAAGAAAGACAAGGATTCCTGAATATAGCTTTGTGTGGTTCAGATGTCTGAGGATCAATTCCTGTCCATGCGCGAGAACTACCTTTGGTAACAACCTTTGAGACATAACCAAATAACTAGAATATCAAGCCCAAGTTTATTCTTCCCTTGATGATTAGGAAAGAATTTCAGAAATCTTGCTATGAACATCAGTTTTCATTTCTCAGCACTGGAGATGTACAAATAACAGAGGATTTGTGATGAAGACATATTGGTCTTATTACATGCCTTGCAATTATTCTGTATATTATTATATGTCTTGCAATTATTCTGGTTTAGACGTATGGGCAGTGATTGGGTCTCAGGCATCTCTATGCTTCTCAAGACACTTCCAATCAATTTTCTTTTCAGCTCACTCCACTTGTTCAAGTTTCATTTTATGGAAGAAAAGAATCAACTTAAACACGGTAACCATAAAGTAGAAAACTAAATTAGGAGTTTCCTAGCTACTATTCCGGCTGAAGAAAATGGGCAGATTGGGAATGAATTTTGTTTGTATTTTTAGTATCATCTTCTATGCAAGTGGGTTATCCATGGAATATTTTAAATCAATGCTGCAAAACACCCTATAGAGCTTCCAACATTACCTCATAAGATATCTGTATAGGGACTAAGATCTAAATATAGTGTTAGTCTATTAAGAAAGAAACATACAGGAGGCAGTTAACACAATGCTTTTCAAATCTAAAGAGAGTTTATGAGTAATATTGATGGTTCCTTATTTTACAAATAGATATTAACTGCCAATATATTCAATACCAAGTTACGTTTTTAAAATAAAATTTTTGCTAGAAAATTTTCCTTAGATATTAAATTCCAGTTAAGCCTTAAAAATTTTGCACCTGGATTAGCAAATAATGACAATTATAGCATGGGAAATGCTAGCTTGATTTCAAGTTACTGTATTATCATAAAGATGTTTTCCTTGGGAAAACTAGTGGTGAATTTTTATGTTCCATATTAGGTGATTAACCAATATAAACTGAGCAATACTACATATATTGCAGGGCTTCACAACCTTGCTATTACTGACATCTAGGCCAGATCATTCTCTGTTGTAGGGGCTGTTCCATGCACTATAAGATATTTAGCAGCATCCCTGACCTCCACCCACTGTACGGCAGTAGCATTCCCTATACTATTAGGTTGGTGCAAAAGTAATTGCAGTTTTTGCCATACTTGTGACAACCAGAAACATCTCTAGTCATTGTCAAATGTCCAGGGTGGGAGCAGGGGCAAAAATCATTCCAGTGGAAAATAACTGACATACTGAACAAATCTGATAATAAAATTTCCAAGTTATGTAAACTAACAGATAAAGTACTGAGTATTTCCAAGTTGACAGTTCATTGAAGTTGGGAACCAAACCTCTACTTCTCTACCCACCCTCCCACCTCCACCCAGCGTGCTATCTCACATACTTCATGATACGGTTTGGCTGTGACCCCACCCAAATCTCACCTTGAATTGTACTCCCATAATTCCCATGTGTTGTGGGAAGGACCCGATGAGAGATAATTTGAATCATGGGGCAGTTTCCCCTATACTGTTCTCATCACAGTGAACAAGTATCATGAGATCTGATGGTTTCATCAGGGGTTTCCATTTTTGCATCTTCCTTATTTTCTCTTGCTGCCACTATGTAAGATGTGCCTTTCAGCTGGGTGTGGTGGCTCATGCCTGTACTCTCAGCACTTTGGGAGGCCGAGGAGGGAGGTTCACAAGGTCAGGAGTTCAAGGCCAGCCTGGCCAACATGGTGAAACCCCTATCTCTACTAAAAATACAAAAATTAGCTGGGTGTAGTGGCGCATGCCTGTAATCCCAGTTACTCAGGAGACTGAGGCAGGAAAATTGCTTGAACTTGGGAGGCAGAAGTTGCAGTGAGCCGAGATCAAGCCACTGTGCTCCAGACTGGGTGACAGGGCAAGATTCCATCACAAAAAAAAAAAAAAAAAAAAAAAAAAGAGGAAAAGGAAAAGAAAGAAGAAGAAGAAGAAGGAGAAGGAGAAGGAGAAGAAGAAGAAGAGTGCCTTTTGACTCTTGCCATGATTCTGAGTCCTCCCCAGCCATGTGGAACTGTAAGTGCAATCAAACTTCTTTTTCTTCTCAGTCTAAGGTATGTCTTTATCAGCTGCATGGAAATGGACTAATACACCTTGCCTCATCGCTTGCATTCAACACACACATGTTGATTGGCTCTTTTACAACTTCTCTGAAGGTTTTTAGAGTTCCATTAGAGTTCCATCAAGGGTAGCAAAAGATAGAAATCTATGGACTTAGGAGCAAATGGCAGAATATGCATTCATTACCATGCAAAACCCAACTTGAGAACAAACGCAAAACCAAGTGGGGGAAATACGCTGACAAGAAAAATCAGTGAAACAGTTCACAGCTTCCACAGTTAGGCAGGCATTTTCTAGGTCTTAGTGTTGTCACTGGGATTAAGCAATGTCAGTGGATACCACAGATAAGTCTTATAATTTATGTAAAAGATGAGGGAGGAAGTGTACTCAAAACGAAAGGCAGTGCACCTATGTTCACAGCAGCGCTATTCACAACAGCCAGAAGGTGTGAGCCACCCACGTGTCTATTGATGAATGAACAGAAAAACAAAATGTGGTATACACATACAATGGAATATTAATTCAGCCTCAAAAAGAAAGGAAATTTTGACACATGCTACAATGTGTATGAATTCTGAGGACATTATGTCAAGTAAAATAAGCCAGACATAAAAAGATAATTACTATTTTATTCTACACATCTGAGGTCCTAGACTAGCAGTTAAATTCACAGAGACAGAAAAGAGAAGAGTATTTGCCAGTGGCCGGTGGGAGGAGGGGAATGGGAGTTATTTAATGGTTATAGTTTCAGTTTTGCAAGTTAGAAAGAGTTCTGAGGATAGATCATGTTGATGGTCATACAATATGGATGTACTTAACATCACTAAATTGCACACCCAAAAATGGATAATATGGTAAATTTCGTTATGTGTATTTTACTACAATTAAATAGAGAAAAAAGGGAAAGGCAAAGGAGAGCATGTGGTAGAGGAGAAAGAGAGAAGCAATACAGCAAGATGGAAATTTATGGTCTTTGAGGGGAAGCCTCTTGACCCTGGCATTTATTACTTATGGGACCTAAGGTGAGCTACTTAGCATAATTGAGTCTTTGAATCTTCATTGGCATAATTGATGTGAGGATTAGCACATGGTTGGCACATAGTAGATATTCAATTAATGACAGAAAATATAAAACAGAAAAGGAATGAAAATATAAAGAAAAATAGGGAAAAGATAAAAGACAGAGGTGAAATGTTGGGAGGTAGTATGTTACCAAAAATGACCTTGGCATCACTCCTTATGAAATCTGCCTTCCTTTCAGACAACTAAAAACTTCCAAGGGAGATGAGATATAAAAACATCGTCAGAGCATCTGTGAAATGTACTTTGTACAGCAATGACAAGTGATTTTCAAAGTTTTTTGGGTGGCAGAGAATCCGGAAACTATTTAAAATACTAGAAGTAATTAAAATAACTGAATAGAAAATTCTAGCCCACATAAAATGACATTTTTCACTAGATTATGATAGGTATAACAAAGCCAAAGATCTAGAAATGTTTTATGGGAAAAAGGCCTTAAGCATTCCATTCATTAAATTAAATTCCCTGAGAACTGGTAAAAGTTATTAGCACCAGAACACGCTGGTCACTCATGGAACATCAGTGCATATAAGAGTAGAACTTAAGAACCATAGGTTTGCAGCTTTCCAGATACATTAAGTACAATGCAAATTAGTGTAAATAATTAATTAATCGATTTTATAAATGAGAAATTTGGGGAAGTATCCCAAAGGGTTGTTAATTGGACTGTTCTAGGGTCACAAAACTCTTGGGGAAAGTGAGTGCTGTTGGATTTATTTGCCCTTCCACTTTTTTTCATATATTTCCTCCAGAAAATAGCAAAGATAGTCAATTACATAACGTAGATTTTTTAATGTAGATTTCTTCTGAATTCTTAAAAAAAATGGTGTCTTTCAATCAGTTACTAGAGATAGAATGACTAAAACTGCAGTCATGATTCACCTAAAAGGGGAAAATGGAAGAGCAATAAAACCTCATACAAGCGATGTCCAGGCTTAAGTAACTCCAGGTAAAATTCGAGGTGTGTACATGCTTGGGAAAGGATGAGTGCTTTTCTTCCACAACAAAGGGAGAGGAGCATAAAGATGTCAAATCGCTTCTGAATGAAAACCAAAGACTCTCTAGAATGCAAAGTTAGTTTTCAGGCCACTTGCTTTGTGAGCAAAGCTCCATCAAGTAAGATTAAGTTACACTCAAATTATGACATAGAATCAGCCCTTTGGAGAAACCATCTTCAAAGTGGCCTGTGACAGAGGTCTGCCTGGAAGTACTGCTACAGCCCTTGTCTAAGGACTCAGAGAAGCAGCATTGGGGATGGGCACTGCTCTCCATCCCTGGAAGCTTGGTTCACTGTTGGAACTT